GCCGGAATAAATCCGGGTCCGTTCCGGTTACGTAGACCCGACTGTCGTGGGAAAGGTGACCTGGTTGTTCTGGACCCTTGGTTAGCTTCCCCTCTACTTTGTGGAGTACGATCTTATGTAATAAACAGAAAGATCTATCACTTTTAAGCCGTCTGCGAGCTCCCAATGGTATTTACGAAAAACTTTTATATGACAGGGTTTTCTTTGTCTGCCGAACAATGATAATGTGCATCTCTAACCATTCCATCACGGCGACCGTTGTACCAAATTTACATACTTCAACACGGAAGTTTGGTGTCGAGGACACAGAGCAAAATCCTCTACTTTCCTTAAGACATTTCCGAATGTTAAGTAGTTGTGAATGGAAAGTGCATCGGAGTATTGAAAAATAGTCCTAAAATAGTACTACGGTGGACATGTATGTTCGTATATTAAATAAAACCGAAGCAAGCGTCGGGCCGTTAACACAACAATAACGACAGTTCTTACATTTGTATAAGCGGTGCCTTTCAAATCAATTGGTTTCTTTTTGCCTGCTGGTAGTGGATTATAAACTCATGGCTAGAGTAATCAGTCGCAAGATTTTCAATAATTTCGTTCAACTATATCTATAAATTACGAAACAAAGTGTAGGTATAAATAGTGGCAAGACCTAAAAATAGAAGAATCCACAAAAACGCCGTTGCGTGCAAAATCAATGACAGTTTCTTCGAATCACCGCACTCCAGGATATTTACTTAATATAATTTTAATAATATGCCGAAATTTTCGGCCACCGCAATGCTAGCAGTGGACTAATTAATGCAACACCGATTTGCAATGGCTCGCGGCAAAATATGTTTTTATGCGGCGCTAAATTAAGAGAACGCATAGTGAACCAAATTGAGTGCTGAACAAAAACTCAATGGGCATTTAGGTCTTAAAAGCGTTTTCGTTGTAAATTCATTTGCAAAACGAGAGCAGAAGTGGCTATAAATTTCCAAAAGTTGCCGCCAGACATCACGTGCCGAAAAATGCGCACACACACCCATATATATATAATGGTTCGCTGCAGATTTCTTGCTGTAAACTTTTGATTGATGTCGTTTTAATTGACAACAAAGCACACCAGAACTTGTGCGTAGAAAGCACGAATATGACTGAAGAATGAAGAAGCTACCGATTTGGCAACTAATTTATGGTGAAGAGCGCAAAAAACGGCTACAAATTAAGGTGTTTACAAGTGTGTGCGTGTGTGCTTTCATAAAATAATTTGGTGATATTTCAGACAATCGTAGAATCCTCGGCGATATCTGTGGCATACCTCAGCTGAGACATTTCGTTGCACCAACTGTTGACCGTATACAACAACAATATACAGTACTTAAGCGGCAGAGCGAAGTTGAAGTTCAGTGTGTAAGTGCGTATGTGGATTAGAGCTAACACCGTTGTAACTGCTGCTGTCGCGTTAACGCTTGTGCTCTCGTATTTGGTGTTGTTGTTGTTGTTGATGCTCATCTTGTTGATGGTTTAATGCGGCGGAGGCGATGTGGAGGTGAATTGTGTAGTCGAAAGTGCAACATATGTCATGTCAGTTGGGAAGGATGCACGGCCGCAGGATCACAAATCGCATAATAGCACACGAATAAAAACAAAATTACACACACATATCTACATCTACATATACATATATACACTTAAGCACTACATACTTCAATACTATAAAGTCTTTTATGTGTTAGTTGTATTGGTGTAGCATAGCGCATGCGCGCGCGCCGTCATCTGTTGCCACTTTGACTTAAGAATTGGAAAAATTGGATATCCTTTCTGCGGCGCTCGTTTGCTTCCTTCGTTGATGCGTGCGCACGAGCAGGAAACATTGGCTCGCTGGCTGGCGTGTTGCCGCTCCTGCTTTTTGGCTTCTTCCGATCGGTTTTTTTCGGTGGCAATGAAGAGGAAAAAGGTTCAAAGCCGAATGTTGTAGGAGCAGAAAAAAAGCAACGCAAGACAATAAAAAAAGCGATGCAGTAACGCAATTGGGGGAAGCCTTTTAGTGGCATTAAAAATTACTATAAAAACTGCTCGTTTTTTCTTGTTCCCAATTTACAATTGGTTAACTGTTTCTGCAATGAAAAAACTAAAAAAAAAGGAATTGAATAAGGTAGACCATATTCGTGTGGAAACGAAGATTGTACAAAAAATTTCGGTACAGAAACAAATGCTAAACTCTCAAGTCCTATAAATATATTCTATCATAATTACATAGCTGCTGTGCTCAAAGTGGGAGATCGCTTAGTTATTGCCGTGTGCTTACTTTGAAAAATACAATTGTCTAGGGCATAAATACTAGTCTACATAATGTTTACGTCATGATTTGCACCGGCGGTAAAGAGATTTATTCCCCAATCTTTGTCATTTTGACTTAATGCAAATCAAAATCTGCTTAAAAGCTCGTAAGCGATTCTTTCCGTGATCGGCCAGTCATCTTCGACATAAAGCATTGCGTAGAACTTTCGCCGCTGCTATTATAGAGAAAATTGGGCAAGCTTGGAACATTATGCGGATCTGCAATAAATTATCGAAATTCTTCAAACTTTCTTTTAGGTTACTTTACATTAGTAGGGATCTTTTGATCACCGGTCAGCTATTTTACGAACTATTGGTATCGAACTAGCGATCGAGCTTGGGCCCAGAGAGGAACCTGTAAATATAGCTCGTTAAAATTTCTTAACCGAACTACCGATTTCTAAAAATTTTATATTTTGAACAGCGTATATTAAGTTTACGAAGTTTGTAACAGCCAGAAGAAAACGTCGTAGACCCTATAATATATATATATATAAATGATCAGCATGATGAGCTGAGTTGATTTAGCTATGTCCGTCTGTCTGTATATATAAAAACTAGTCCCTCAGTTTTTAAGCTATCGATCTGAAATTTTGCACCTGTCCTTTTCTCATTAAGAAGCAGCTCATTTGTGGTAACGGAGTATATCGGACCACTATAGCATATAGCTGCCATACAAACTGAACAATCGCAATTAAGTGCTTGCATGGAAAACTCTGTATTTGACGTAATATCTTCAAGAAATTTGGCATGGGTTATTGTCAAAGGTAATAATACAATCTCCGAAGAAATTGTTTAGATCAGATTACTATAGCATATAACTGCCTTACAGATTGAACGATTGGAATCAAGTGTTTGTATGGAAAAGTTTTTTATTTGACGAGGTATATTCACGAAATTAAATCCGAATCAAGTTTTTATAGGGAACCTTTGTATTTGTGAAGGTTATTACAGCTTCGGTGCAACCGAAGTTAACGTTTTTTCTTGTTTTGACTTTCTAACGTTCTATTGCCAGTCGAAGCTTACTCGATTATCCAAAAAGAACCTCCCTACACATATCTACAATACTAATTGTCGATAAGACAACGCAATAGTTCCATTTAATATACGATAGTTGCAATATGTTAAGCTATGTTTGCCCCTATGTAAGTAATTCCGAAATTCGGAAGCGATTTTGAAGCTAAACATGAACAGATGGTGCAATGTTACATTTCCATAGGTCTCAATGAGATTAGTCTAAGTTTATTGGATTTAATTGACATGGAATAAAGTTAAAATTCCGCTCAGGAACTAAACACGGTTGGATTTACAACTATAGCAACAAATAATAAAAAAAATAATGAGAAAAAGAGTTGAATTTAGTTGCCCCCAACGATGGCACTACTTCAGTTACACACACATACTTACATACTAATATACATTAACATTCAGCGATATATATGTATATATAATCATCCAAATTGCCGTAAGCAAATTAATAATGGTGGTTGCTGTCGAGGTGTTAGTTAAGGATACGCTTCGATATGCTCCATACGCAACTCACACGCACACATCTACACACTGGTATATAGGAAAACAACTGTGTTCCAAAAGTCTAAATGCTTTACGTACTCCACCTTCCCTGCAATCCACAATGAATTATGTGTAGTTTGCCCGATTTGATGCGTCTGTGTCTGCGCAGGCGCAGCGTTACTTACTAATTTACAAGCGACGGTGTCTTTCCGTACGGTCTTGAACACGTGCACCACGAAGGCGCGTGTGCGTCAGATGGTCAGACAAATACTCGAATTTAGGTAAAATGAATTAGTCGAGCAGAAGACGAACAAGAAAGTGCCGATTATGAGTGAAAAAATGTATATTATTTGTTAAGGGGTGATTTTGATAGCACTTAAGGACATGCGCATGCCCATGCACTCTTGCCGGAGTTTATATAAATAAATATATAGGCAAAATATTATAAGTTGTAACGAATAATTTTATTAAAACAAAGTATCATGATTGTTTTATGGACCAAAAGTTCTAATATTCGTTTGACGCCTGAAAAAACAGAGAAAATAAGCCTGGTTCTCCAAATAAATAACTTATTAAATTTCCTTTGTTTATCTTGATCAAAGGCAGGGTTTCATTTCTTTATATTATTGCCAATAAGCTGTTCCTTAGCCTTAACTAACCGGCAGCAACCTATATCTAACGTATAGGTAACCTTTGGTCTCCCTTGACAATAGTCCTCTAATGAATAAAGATGTGATGAAACAATTTATGCACTAATCTAGTTGTGATTGTCATTAGGTAGAACTATGTAAGCAAATATATCTGAGCGCATACTAGCATTACGGCCACAGTTTGTACAATAGAAAATTTGGATATCGGTACTTCTAATCAAGAATAAAACGGACCTTCCGAAAATGTGATATTTTGGTCATTTTAAGTGACTCAATCCCATCTTAATTATAAAGAGTATTGTCGAATGATCGAAAATTTATAGATGTTTGGCCAAACTTATTCTACAATGTTTGATTGTTCTGAAACATATCTGTAGCTACTCTTTAATTATGATTCAATGCTTAACACTTTGGTCTCAATGTCAGTAAAAATGTTATATACGCTCTGAACTCACCATTGGCTTATACTTTGCAACCAAACGGTGGAAATTATATACAAAATAATAACAGAAATTATAGCAAGTATTTTTCAGCTTACCCACAGCTCATCAATATTAGATGAAATGAAAATACTGAATCATTTATTGTTAAAAGACTTAAGATTTTTTTTTTCAAACCATTTATCACTCTAACAATTACTTAACTCTTCATCGATAAGTTTTCCAACCTCATTCACTAGTTCCCCAATACATAAGAGTGCTTGCGCTTCGCTCTCTTGAGAGATTTGACGAGTACGTGACAATAGCTGACCAACACCATCCAGCTCCTTTGAAATTTGTTCATTCCAAACAGTCATCCGCTCGACAAAACAAGTTGTAGCCGAGGCAAAGTTGTGAGGCGCATCTTTAGTCGAAGCGGAACGCGCCAACAAAACTTGACATGCTTTTGGCAAATTGATAACCTCATCGATTAAATTTTCTATTGTCGAAATGCTTTCTTCCGCATGGAATTTGTAAGTTTGCAACACAGCGTTGATGTCTTCGGTGCAATTGCTGAGTTGCGAATCGATGCTCGCACGTAGATCCACTACAGACAGCGTAGCATTGCAGTTTTCATGACTTAGCTTACGACTGGCTTGAAAAATCGGCAGCGCCAGCTGCTCCAGGCCGTTGGTGATAAGCGTTTCGATGCTACCGTATAGAACATTAGCTGTACGTTCCAGCTTTTGGTTCACTTGTAGTGCGATCTCATCGGCAATGGAGGCGACGTTGATGGCGAGGTTTTCAATTGCGGCGGTGACTGGACCATTGGCACTCTTGTCCGACCCTTCAGCCGTTGAGGATATAGTATGAACCGTGTCCTCAGTGACTGCGAGCTGTAGATAGATGTAAATATTATTTGTTACAAATTTTATTGACTTTTAAGTTCACCTTGATGCCAGAGATGGCGATTATGACAAGGAATAGGTAGTGGTAACGCATTTGAACCATTTTGTGTGAATCACGGTAAGACATTGAACAAAAATGTTCGCTGCTAATGATGACATCGGCCCATTGAAGATCATATGATTGATAAGAGGTCTCGAAAACAAAACAAAGTAACATGCAGATAACATTTTTATCTTTATCTCTCCGATCAGCAAGATAAATGATGATATCACTTCAATTTGCTTAATTGGATTCCGAAAATTTGTCCAAAACAATTTTACGCAATCAATTAGTTTCACAATTAATTTCGATAAAAGCACTTGGGCTTATTGGTTTTCGAAAAGCATTGAACCAAACACAAGTGAATAAACTGCATGCTAGTACATAACATGAAGCTCAGCGTGGTTTTAATGTTTCTACACTTTGGTGCAACTCTGCTCGTAAGTCGACACTGGTCTGAACAATAAAATCTCATTTAACTGCTTCGTTTGCATCTACTCCTCAGCTGCTAACACAAGCTTTACCCTATAGCCCATGGCTGATATCGCAGCATCACGGTCCACTTTACGCAGGTGTGAAGCTGCTCGTGGCGGATACCGAGTTTCAGGCGGAATTAACTTGGAAGGAAACCGAATTTCAACTGCTTGAAGCTGTGAACGCTATGGAGGACACCCAGATACTACTCGATGACTATGAACCTCTAATAGAGGAACACCTTAACGCTACGCGTTCCAACAGCGCTTATCAAAACTGTTATTTACAATACGATTATGTCAATGCAAATTTTGAACAAGAACTTACGCTTAAACTCCAGAGCTGCAGGGCAATGTTGACAAAAAGTTTAGCTGCTTTGCAGAATGAATCCAACATTGAGCTCAATTTCATACGCGTTGCTGCAATGGAAGCACGCAATGTGCTTAACGTTTGTAACGTGGCTGAGCTGAGAGTTAGAGAGAGCAATAGCGATCTCGCTGGCATTACAATGTGTGTGATCAGTCGGATTGGTGCGCTTGATCAGCGTCTTTCGGCGGCTTCTGAAAACTTTCTAGACCTACTTGTCACTGAGAATGCGGCTGAACTTGAAGGCAATAGCTGCGAGGAGTTCGGAGAATTGCGTCAGATATTCGATAGCGTTTATGATGACATCAGTGAGTGTGTAACAGAATCGGATATCTAAATATTAATATTAACTTTCACAAACTTAGTGCTTTTAGATTTTAAAATCAGTTGGTATTTTGTGCAAGTTCAATTTGATATAGTGAAAATACAATAAAAATAGCCGAAGGATTGTCTAGTTATTTCGGTTTCAAAATAAATATATTTTTATTAAATTAGCCTGTAAGCCAAGTTTAGCTGGTGCTGCGTTAAACGGCTCTTATGTCAATATCAGCGCAAGAAATTACGTATATTTCAACGTGCGTGAAGTTTTGGAAAAGTTCTTTTAAATATTTAATAGTTAACTATTTGAATACTTTTGTCCATTATGTTTCATTCCGCCGATATTCTCTTCAGATCTGAGTTTGATGCAATGTATCATTTCAGGTGTGTACACCACTTATGTTATGAATTATAAATGTAAGCGACACACTGAATATACATAACTATTTCATTCGATGTTTCTAATTTTATGTAAATAGACGTGCTATTTTTGCAACAAAAATACCACATTTTATATATTTGCTAACAATACTGTTGATTTTACCAAAACACAGGGTGAACCAGATTATCGAAATATCATTAGACTGGTGGTTAACTTGGCTATTGTTTGCACGATCACTATCAAAAGTTTTGTTTGCATACATTGAGGCGTCACTTAGGTTGATGCAGAGAACGTAAATGAATCATTAATTACGAAGAAGGAACATCGAAAACGCGCAAGTTCGAAAATAAAATTTCACCACAACTATCAGGGTACGAAACGAACTACACCACTCTATAAGCAAAATGTATACACATACATATGCACAGATGTTCTTTGATATGCGCTTAAACAAAAATTGAAATAATAAAAACGAAAGAAATTGACTTCTGACAAGAAAATATAAAAAGTGATGGAAATAATATGAAAATAAAATTAAAATATCATTTAATAAAAATGGGTTATAAAAATATTAAAAAAAAGTATATAAAAATATCTAATAGGATTTGAACTTAGGCAAAATATTTCACATTGCAATAAAGAAGTGTGCTAGACAAGCAACATCACAGAGAATATTTAGTCCTCTTTCTCTAATCTGTGAACTCAAACAGCTATTGTTGTTTACTTCCTTCAATGTTCATATGTCTATATGTGAATATTCTTGAAATTGCCTTCCTTCATTCGCATGCCCAAATATATTTGCACATATGTACACATATGTACATATGTAAGTCCCTCAATATGTCTTTCGCAAAAAATCAAACATTCGCGCAAATGACAAAAAAAACGTGGTGCGTCTATCTTATTTTCTAAGTATTTCATATTACAACGACAACTACATATGGTTTTCATATAGAATTCCTACTGCAAATGCGCGAAAATAAAAATGAATGAAATTGAATTTGAATGTCTTCAGTAACATTGAAGAAGTTTCAATTTTACAACTGATCCTACCATTCCGCTCGCATTTGTATGTTGCCCACAAGCTGCTGCCTCACAACATTTGCTAAAAATCAGAAATTGAAGAATTTTTCTGGTGTTCCCTTCAGAAAGGAGAATTGGCAACATGACCTATTAGCGAGTTAAAATAATATTTATATTTTTTTCATATTATGCACTATTAATGGCATTAAATTATAAAATGTATATAAAATTGCCATTCATAAGAAATCTTTAACTACTTCTATATACTCTAAGCACACCCCATATAGTACTGTTATATGTTTACTTATTATCATTATTTCATAGTTTGTCGATTTAGCCCATTTGATCTAAAAACGATGCTATGAAAAAGCAGCCCAATCGTTAATCGTAGCATTTAAAAAGAGCATAAGTCAATTTTCAACAGCAAAGCCCTGCAAAAAGGACAAACGAGACAACATAGCCGACCGACATAGTCGCAAAATTGTCGATTCAAACAAATTTTGTCAACTCCGCGACGATACCCAAAATTTGGCGTCAATATGTATGCGAGCTCGTATGTATGTATGTAAATATGTATGTTTGTCGACATAGCCGTCTTTTCGTTTTTTTTCAATGTTTTGTCAGAGCTCAATTTTTTGCTCCGCCCCGTCTCCCCGCGAACTCGCCGATACTTCCATGGCGTGCCATCATGGTCAGAGGCGTTTCAACGGAGGGTTTTATCATATTATTATATTGATTAATTTGTAATTAGAAATACTGATATTGTACAGCTTATTTACGTAATATTATAATATTTGAGCAAAAGTATAAATACACATGAATTCATACTTATTTCAATGTTTTTTAAAATAAACTCGATTAATAAAATTATATCTGAAATAATTATGTGGTAGTGCAGCCTCAGATCCCTTCTTGCCTGCGATCGTTCAACTTGCTTCCCGCAACAAATAAAAAGTGTAGACAAAGGTCATTGTTTGTGCGGCGCAAGAAGAAGCAAGGATCAGCGTACGTGTACTTATGAATGTGTGAGTGATTGTCACATTTGTATAAAAACGCAATACATCCTAACATATGAACATATTTTCTTGAAATACTCTAATTATTTCGGTGAGTAAAATATGCTATTTAAGTAACTGAATTGAGATTAGCTAAAATGTCAAACTATAAAATAAAAGAAAAATAAAATTTAAGTTTCATGAGTTTCAGGATCCGAACGTAAATGCCCGTATTCGGAATGGCTTAACCCCTTCCCGCTTACGACCTCAGCCACCACAAAAGTGGAAACGCGGCCGCCATCGTTTTATTGTTATCCTTTGCTCAATAAGCAAGTGCTCACGTAATGCACATACATAAGTTGGAAAAATTGCCTATTAAATGTTTATTTTGTTATGAATTCTGGGTTTTTACCGGTAATACAGATTTTAAATTCAGAAGGCTTTTCTTAATTATAAATTTTGTCATATCATAGAAATTGAAAACATAAATCTAAATAGGTATGCGCAACGATTTTTCATATAGGAATTATTACCCATATTTGTATTTATGTTCCAATTTAGCACAAATATTGATAAGTGGTAAGGAACTACTCCTTCATTATATTCAGAATGTATAAAGCACAGTCAATTATGGCTCCGCAGTTTCGGATATAACGAAATTCGACTGGATCAGTTTGTTGCGATCCAACAATCTGCCCATGTCTCGATAGATATTTTGAAAGTTCTGTTAGTAGAAAATATATGTATATGCCGCCCAAAGAGAAATGACAAAACTATTTATTCCTTATGTGAACAGACTGTAGAACTCTCCAAATTCGAATTGTTAAGTATTGCTCAAAGTCAGCTCAAAGCCTAAGACTATTTCCTCAATATAATTAAAAATCAATCGGTATTTCTTAAGAGAAACTGATTTGTGTTTTAGGTTATACCTTCCATACAACTACATAATATAATTCAAGTAAGCTACTTCAATAAAAATTAATACAAATCCACAAGACTATATACTTACATATATATGAAAATATACATATCTTAACGGATTTGGGTTATAATGATAGTATTTAGAATAATGTTATAAACATAATTTCAGATAACATTCTTATCGACGAACTAATTTTGATTGTTGCTGACGATGCATATACCCTGAAAAATTTGTGGCCGAGCTGCTGTAAAATATTTTGTTATTTACGTGGATTTTATCCAAAATCAGTGAGATTCTACAGGTTTTAAGTAGCCTGCGAATGTCTATTTTACTTTCGTTGCTTTTCGAGGTATACTAATTTTTTTGTTCTTGATCTGGGTATAGAACCCATGTTCCACAGCTTTGTGTTCACACACATAACCAACTCAGCTACACCCTACCTCTTAGATTACTAGAATTATTTAATCGTAGTATTCGTTTTACCGATAAGCAGGTCATAAATAGTTAGATTAACAAAGATTCGACAAACATTATTTAACGGCTAAACAGCGGTATTATTCACAGAGGTTCGGAAGTGTCAAGTGGTTTATTTTCTTTTTTGGTTTTGGATACTGAAGTTTCAATAAAATGAATTTTCAAGTCAAAGGAGGCCTTTGCATGTTACTACTTTGTTTAACGGTAAGGACTAGAGAAAGAAAAACAACCAAAACTTAGGCAAAACATTTAATCGAATTGTTATTGCAGCCAATATTCGCTTACAGAGAAATTAGCGGCATGCTCGATCACACCACCGACCTTACACCCGAGGAGATAAATGCCTTGCGGCCACTATTCTATTATCTGCAAGAACAATATAATTACATAGTGAGTCAAGCACCCCAAAGAGATCTAGATGAGGACGACGCACAAGTACAAGATTCACAGCACGCAGCAGTTCAAGCTGAATTCGAGCAATATTTCGCAGATTTCCAACAACAATATACATTTGTCGAAGACAACAACAAAGTCGATTTATACAATAAAACACTGCCGACAGTTGCCGAACTGATGGGATCAGCCGGCATTGATCTTACCGCTGTCGAGCTTGCCGAACGCGAGGACATTGAAAGTTTGCTTCAACAGGCTCTGGACGAGGCACAGCAGCAAATTGACGAAATCGTACGAAGTTCCCTGCAAGTGGAGTCGCAACTGATTAAAATTAATAAACCGAAAATCGTGGGCTATATATTGAGAGCGCTAAGGGTAATATTCAAGGTGGCGACACGCGGAGCACGCGCCGCCTATTGCACCTATTCGCACATACCGCAATTGAATGCCTCGCTGCAGCACATCTACGGGGGGCTCGACTGTTACAGATATTCGAAGCGTTTGGTGTTGCGCATTGAGCAAGAGACCGTGCACACAGTGAGCACTATTCAGGAGAATGTCTTCAGTTTGGCTGGTATTTATAAAAAAGTCGCCGGTAGAAAATCTTTACTGGGGAAATTGTCTGCTGTGCTGTTGAATTTATCGAAAATTGTGGGAAATATCAAAGAGACCTATTTAGTGGGTGTCAGCGCGCTTGATAAGGTGACGAATGAGTTGCCGAATGCAGCGCAAGGAAGTGTACATTGCAGCCGCGACTTCGTCGGTGGCGTGCCGCAGATGGTGGAGACTGTGGCTAATTTGTCCACTTGTATTATGTTCGTCGATAACACCATCGTGGAATATGATTTCATGAAACCGGAAAATCAACGCGATTTTAATTAATTGAGAAAATTATATAACTATTTGAAATTCTTAAAAGATTATTGCATTAAATATTTTTACACCTAGCCGGATAGTAAAATATAAAGCTGGCAGTAACTCGTTTTCGAATTATGAGAAATTAGTATGAATAACCAATCTTTAAAGCCTTATCAGATCGGTAGTTTTTATTTTAGGTTTTTGGATGAGTTCTTTTGACGACTCAGTAGCTCCTCTTATGTTTTGTTAACCTTGAACTACATATTAAGTATCGAGTAATCTGATCCTACTAAATTTAACTTAGTTTGGAAAAATTTTGTGCAGTATCACGCTCTGATTAGAAAGTTTAGAATAAGAAGCTTCGGTCTATTGATCGATGAAGCGGTTGCAAGTGAAGAAATGGTGTGTAAGGTAGAATACCTCTAATAATAGCAGAGCTATGATAGTACTTCGAGCTTCCGAGATATGCTTTTACGGCTTTTTCGAGCTCAACCGACGGCAGGTTAAAACGTTATATTTTCCATGCTCCGAATGCTCCAAGTTAAGAGACATTGGTCAGCGCTGGGGTGGAAAAAACAGGTATTTTACCAAATCCACTGAGTTGCTGATTTCATCTTGTCTTCTTATTGTTTTTCTATAGTTCTTGAAACTTTTTTTGTGGCATATCTTCAAGATAACACTCCTTGATTAATGTACGCCACCACGGCAGTAGAGATACCTTGGTAGATGGTCGAATCTGGTATGCTTATTTAGAGGTGTTGAATCATAATGGTTTGATCTTGACTTCATAACCATATCTTTATGATTATCCGTCAGTTTTGACAAAAAGAGAATGGTCATTATTGGCATTTGAGAGATCCAAAGGAGGATCTCCTGACTAAAATTTATCACATTGGGAACAAAATCTGGAGGGTTTCTTATAGTTATAAGAAAGCTATTTTTTCTTAAGCGATTTCCCTCGAAAATCTTAACCTTTCAGACCATAAAACATAGCTCTCTAAAACCTCTCCGAAACAAGCCTCGACATCACTATAAGCACCACCCATTTTTTTAGAACTCTATCGTACGAGATAATTTTATATAAACAATAGTAACAATAACAATAGTAAAGCAATTTTCAAAGGAAACCTCATTTTTTAACACATACATACATATAAAAATCTCTATATATTACAACTCTTCTACACATTCGCTTTTGTATCCGTCGGATACAATGATTAATATAATGCAAATAAAAATCTATAAATAATTTCAATACAATCGTATCTTACACTCAAGAATAAAATTAAATATATACTGTATATATGTATAATTGTATAAATTAATATAAATTGAATTTAAATCCTGTTGGGCTTTTAAAATCCATGGACATTTGCATGACACAGTACTTTGGGCTTTTGACTAGACAATGCTCTCTTTGTGACGTCTTACATATTGCTCACTTTGTGATTTATTTAAAGGCTCCAATTGCGGTCCGCCACCAGCCGCACCGTAAAGAGAGCTTTGGCCGCTTCCACTACCGCTGTTGTAACCTCTACCGGCTTGCGGTGAAGACTGAGATTTCTGAACACTCTCATGCGTGCTCTCCTTAGCCAATTGTGGCACGGCTATGACATCGGCCATTAATGTCTGGCGGCACAATGCCGACAGTGCTCTATTACCTTTAGCTGGTTCAGGTTCTGGCTTTGGTGCGTCTTTTCCTTTCTTGATGCCTTTGCCACGTCGGAATTTCGAGGCGAGTGTGGCAAAGCCAAGCTTACTGGATATTTTACCGGAACGACTGACTGAACGTGGCAAGGAATCGTAGACACTGCTATCTAGATCAGTCCCAGTGTCCGAGTGTGTCGGTGTTTCCGTGTAAGAATCTCCGGTAATAGTGCCAACGCTGAAACTCTTTGGTAAATTTGCTTCTCCGCCCGCCGCTGAGCTCATGCTATAGTCGCTACGACGGTATTGCTCCCACGTTTCATTGCGTACAATATCGTCGCGCCGTTTCACTTGCGGTTCAGGCGTTTCGGCCTGGGGATGTGCGCCGTTGCCCTGCAGAAACTCCTCCTTTGCTTTCTGTAAACGCAATGCGCGTTCGGAAAGAGGTGTACGTGGAGTATCTTGTGTTATCAGGTGTAACGGTGTTGTTGGCTCAGAACTATGCGGTACAGGAAAGTCAAAATGCTGCGGCTGCATGCTAGTGGGTGTCAATGATTTTCGTTCGAGTTTGCGCGCAATGCGCGGTAATGTATTGTCAAATCTATCGGCTGCAAAACTTTGTGGCGATACCTCACCGATAGAGGTTCCCGAATACGTTTTAGCAATTTTCGTCTCGATTTTCTTGATTGTGCCACTTTGCGATTTCGAGAAAGGTATGTAATAATGTGACTTTTCGGTATTCTTTTTGAAACGATGTTCTTTACGCATCTCCGTGGGGCTGGGACCAGCCGGATTGACGATAAACGAACCAAACTTTGCGGGACTTGCCGATTCGCGCATGAGGCTAGCACAGCTTTTGTTGATAACGCGAAAACTGTCGGATGCAAGTGGTGGACGTGCCTCCTTTGATTGTTTTTCAGCTGATGTTACGAGCTTTTCGGCACTATGACACTTGCGCTCATCCTCGTAATCATACTCGTCACGACGCACATCCCCCTGACTCAGAGACCTGCAAGTCGAATTGGAACACTTGGGCGTTAGACTACCGACTTCCGTCGGTGTTTCTGAATCAACAAATTCTACAGCTTCCAGCGTCATGGGCTCTGTCTCTGACAAGGATGTTTCGGTCGGCGCTTCTCCATCCTCAGTTGGCGTTGTAACGAGCTCTCGTTCAACTACCGTTATGCCACCGATAGCATTTGGCTCAGGGACTGCAGTAAATAATTTTCGTTTGGTTTTCACAAAAACATTTTCATTTTGGTTAAAATTCACATTTTCTGACATATCATTTACATCATCAACTGGTGGTTGCCTAGGTATCGCTGTTGCGGTGTCTACCAGACACTTTTCGCTGCCACTTTTCGGTCGGAAATTGTTAGTTTCGGAAAAACAGCGTTCCATGCTCACTACATTCTCGCATTGCTCAATAGGATGACCCGGTTTCACTTTTAACACGTATACAACATCATCTCCGCCGGTCTCTTCATTTCTGCGATAATCATCATCGAATGAGCGCTGTTTAAGGCGAAAATTCTTTCGCTTTATGCGTCGTGGTGTCTCCAAAACACTGTGTGTGTCCGCGTCACTGCTATCGCTCTCCGTTTTACTGTTCTGTCGCGAACCAGTTTTACGCAGCCGTAACTTCTTTTTACTAACCGCGCTATTTCCGCCATTACCGTTAGCGTATTGTGTTCGCTGTGTAAGTTTGGATACGTTGGTTTCATCATTTTCCGGGTGCGAAGCACTCCATTCATCCGTTGCTTCAAGTGTGGTTGAAATGTGATCCTTCGTTGTATCGGTTGTAGTCATATTTTGTACGTCCGCTGTGGTGATACTAATATCCGGCACGATATCTCTTGGGTAAGGAGTTGAACCGCCATCTGTGAAATGTTTACGCGTAAAATTAAATAATTTTATTGAGCTTGGTGTCGAGGAAATTGCATGTACTTACGTATATTTCGTCTCAATAACGACAAAGATTCGCTTAGGCCCTTTAACTCCTCGTTATATTCGTTATTGCGCTCCTCCATGATTTCCTGGCAACAAGCCTCATCAAGCGGGTACTTTTCGCACTAGCGGGTAAAGAAGAGTACAGACGGGTTAGTGATTTCTTAATTAAAAGTAATTTTGAAGATGTCTTTATCTTTAGATTTCCTCGTGGTCATAAATAAATCCGATCTCTAGATGTATTTTTTTTAGCTTGGCAACAAAGTTAGTGTTTTTTAACACTCATTCGAGGAATGATGTGTTAGAAGCTCAAATACTCTAATGAACTCAACCAAAGATCTTAAGTCTCACAAGCTATCTAAAGCTTAGTTTCGTCCAAAAATTCTTTCTTTAAGAAAACTATTAAGAATTTAGTACTCCATAGAAAATCTTTAATAAAGATCTAATTTTTTTAGAGTATCCTCTTATAGTCTTTCCTTTTATTACCAGACATCTATCTTAATATGTTCTGCAGCAACCTTTCTTATCAAGCCTACATAATATATTTTTTGAACTCACCAGATCGCCAATTCTGCTTAATTCGCTTTGCACATCTGATATGGCATTCAAAACGTTCGGCTTCATCAGGTTATCTGAGTAATAAGGATAAATGTTGCGTATGTAGGTAAGCATCGTCTCACACTGCCGCAATTCGGCATTCTGACACAATTCTGTGGATGAAGACTTGAGTTTCGCGAAGTTCTCTTCAGTACGCTGGAGCACAGAGAGTAGTGGTGCCAAATTAGTGTGCGATTCAAAACTTTGAACTCGCCGTGTGTTGCTGTGGAGAAGTAAGTTTTGTTTCTTATATTCTTTAGATATCTTCTTTAGATCTTCTTCGGTTACCAATAATCACTGCAAGCGCCTTCTTCGTATTTATAAATGGGTGTCTGTTGTTCCACAAGTGTATGTGCGGTCACCAGCGGTGATGCGGTCTCCTCGATATGGTCCTCAACTTCTACCATCACCGCTTCGGGTTCTTCATATTTCTTGTACTCATGCTCATCAATCACATCCGAACTGCCATGATTATCGATCTCCTTCAGATCATTCACATCGTTCAAAGACAAACTGGAAGCTTGCTGCGAGATTGCTGGTAGTGTGACATTATTTTGTGCAATGCTATCCAAAGAAAATGAACGTCCAAGTGTTGGGGTGTTGTCCTCTGCATAGTAAACCGAAATTAATGAATTGTAATTTTGCGTTACCGGTACATTTCTTACTAGCGTTGCTCTCTTTAGTGATGCGATCTACCACAATGGGTCGATAGCCGGGATGCAGTAGTGCGAATGTTGATGACTCCGGTCCAATGCCACGTGCCTTCTCCCATTCATATAGTTTACGTGTGAATTTTCGCGAAATGCCCTCGAATTTCATAACACCCTCTGAGGTCTTCACTTCGATCTCTTTGGCGGGATGATCCGTGACGATCGCTTTGAGTTTGGCTAATCTGTTTGTATGTGTCAGAGAGAGCGTGAGCGAGTATGTAAAAAAAGAGACAAAATCAATGCGTGTACTCACTTTTCTAGCTTATCTTTGT